CAGTTTAAAAAGTTATTTTACTTGACACTTTCTTTCCTTTGTTCTGATGCAGAGCTACAAGATCCACCAACAGAATGACCTTCACATGTGACCAGTGTGGAAAAGTGTGGCCAAAAGCTTCAGAACTGAAAAAACACTACAGAACTCACACAGGAGAAAGACCATACGAGTGTGACCAGTGTGGGACAGGATTCAAACGATCAGATCATCTCCATCGACATACGAGAATCCACACTGGAGAGAAACCGTATGAGTGTGACGTTTGTGAGAAAACATTTTCAGATTCAGGCACCTTAAAATCACATATGAGAGTCCACACTGGAGAGAAACCGTATGAGTGTGACCAGTGTGGGGTCCAGTTTAGACAGTCTAGTGCCCTCCATCAACATATGAGAATCCACACAGGGGTAAAACCACACAGATGTGATGTTTGTGAGAAGACATTTTCGCTGTCACACAACCTAAAATCACATATGAGAGTCCACACTGGAGAGAAACCGTACGCGTGTGACCAGTGTGGGGTCCAATTTAGACAGTCTAGTGACCTCCGTAAACATATGAGAATCCACACAGGAGAGAAGCCCTTTGAATGTGATGTTTGTGAGAAGACATTTTCATGGTCAAGCAACCTAAAATCACATATGAGAATCCACACTGGAGAGAAACTGTACAGATGTGACCAGTGTCTTAATAAACACATGAGAGTTCATTTTGAATACAGACTATATGAGTGTGACCAGTGTGAAAAGTTCTTCAGAACATCCCAGGAACTGTCCAGTCACTACCGAACGCACACAGGAGACGAACCAGACGACTGAAGAAAGAGGGAAGGATTTGGGGTCTGTGGGGAAAGGAGAAAGAGCTGCTGAGGCCGGATCAAGTGAGCCTAAAGTCAGACTCAAGAAGCTGGAGATCAGGCTTCAGAGACTCCAGACTGTGGAGTTGGCCGATGTGTAGTGTCAAAAATACAAGTGTTAAATGACACGTTAAGATGTTTTTCTTTCCATCCATGTTTGTTCATCTGTTCTTTGTTGTATTGTTTTTAAACTTTGTGCGTTTAGTCTTGTTTGACTGCACTTCCTGAAATTAAAATTCCAGTTCCCTTAATTAAAATATAAGAATTAGAAAATAAAATCTGTGTTTTTGTTCTTGCTTGTCTTGTTTTATGTTTCACAAATGCCTCAAAAAAAACTTAAGAAATGAAACAAACACACACAAAGAGCTGAGAAACAGTGTGAGCTTCTTTTAACATTTAACAGGTGAAGCACTAAATGTTCCTCAGAGGTTTGAAGCTGCTCTAAATGACACAGAATATGAGAAGAGGGGTTTGGGGTTGTACACGCTCCTGAACAGGACTACGCACGATCTAGAATGAAACTCAAACTCCTCAGTGTTTTAAAGTTTAATAGAGAAGCATGGTGCTCCCTCTAGTGGACAAAAGGAGGAATCAACACATTCACCATTTTTAAATATTTTATTACGAAAATAAAATGAAAGAAATCGTCTTTACAGTTTTAGTCGGAATTATAATAAAATGTCCCAAAGCAATGAATTTGAACATGAACTTTATTTAAAACAAACAAAAACAGGAGGAACAAAGTGTCGTCAGAAGTCGTCAAAGTCGTCTGGGCTCTGGAGTTTGGCGGCGCCCTCTCGAGACAGACGGTCCGCCACCTCGTTTCCATGGTAACCGGCGTGCCCGGGTATGTGCATCTGAAACAGCACGGCTACGTGTTATTATTAGTACTTGATTTAGTCCTGGTCAAGACCCCGGTCCAGACCCGGTTCTTACCCATGTGACCTGCAGCTCCGAGTTGAGTTGGTCCAGTTTGATGAAGTCGTCTTTGTTGATGATTTCTCCTCCAGATTTCAGTCTCCAGCCGTTTAGTTTCCAGGTCTTCACCCAACTGGTCACGCCTGGAACCACACGACAAAATATCACACAAAAATATAAAAACATCACACAAACGACGACTACAACGCACGACAAAATATCACATTATAAAATATCACAATATCATATTTGTGGAGTTTGCTTGTTCTCTCTGTACGTCTGTGGCATTTGCATGTTCTCCCTGTGCGTCTGTGGAGTTTGCATGTTCTCCCTGTGCGTCTGTGGAGTTTGCATGTTCTCCCTGTGCGTCTGTGGAGTTTGCATGTTCTCCCTGTGCGTCTGTGGAGTTTGCATGTTCTCCCTGTGCGTCTGTGGAGTTTGCATGTTCTCCCTGTGCGTCTGTGGAGTTTGCATGTTCTCCCTGTGCGTCTGTGGAGTTTGCATGTTCTCCCTGTGCGTCTGGAGTTTGCATGTTCTCCCTGTGCGTCTGTGGCATTTGCATGTTCTCCCTGTGCGTCTGGAGTTTGCATGTTCTCCCGTGCGTCTGTGGAGTTTGCATGTTCTCCCTGTGCGTCTGGAGTTTGCATGTTCTCCCTGTGCGTCTGGAGTTTGCATGTTCTCCCTGTGCGTCTGGAGTTTGCATGTTCTCCCTGTGCGTCTGGAGTTTGCATGTTCTCCCTGTGCGTCTGTGGAGTTTGCTTGTTCTCTCTGTGCTGTGTGGGTTTCCTCTGGGCACTGCACTTTTCTCCATCAACCCAAAACATGCACCATCAAATCCTCGAGCTCAGGTCCAGACCAAGACCAGGTCCAGACCAAGACCAGCTCCAGGTCCAGACCAAGACCAGGTCTGGGGAGGAACATCTGTGTGGACAAACATCTGTGTGGAGAAGGCGGCAGTGACGTCCAACCCAAAGATGAACCTCACTGGTCGAACTCGGACACAGTAAATATTTGTTCTCGTCCTCTGACCACGGCTCAATCTTCTGTCCCTTGTTTCTCCTCCATGTTCCTCACACACGTTTTCTTTGTTAATTTTCCCGTGTGACCCGATGAACCTGCTCAGGTCCACCGTGTCGTCGGTTCACTTAGAAAAAACAGGTTTCATGTGGTTCCTGAACGCTCTGATTTTTGGCGTGAGTCGGTTTGAGATTAGGCGCGGGAACCGACAACGGCACAGTTCGGTCGCCCTGAAAACCCCACCAGAGACACACCTGCCTGACAGGTGCTCCGTGACAGGTGCTCCCTGACAGGTGCAGGTGCAGGTGCTCACCGTTGATGGTGAACTTGCTGTCCGTGTAGAGCACCAGTTTGTGGATGTTGTTGGCTTTGGCCAGCTCCAGAGCTCTGCACGCCGCCTGCTGGACGACACAGGAATTACACACAAACAACACAAACACCACATAAACAACACAAACAACAAACAACACAAACAACAAAACACACAAACACAAACAACACAAACACAAACAACACAAACAACTCAAACAACACAAACAAACAACACAAACACAAACAAACAACACAAACAACACAAACAACAAACAACACAAACAACAAACAAACACAACAAACAAACAACACAAACAACAAACAACACAAACAACAAACAAACAAACAACACAAACAACACAAACAACACAACAAACAAACAACACAAACAACAAACAACACAAACAACACACAACAAACAAACAAACAAACAACAAACACAAACAACACAAACAACAAATCACACAAACAACAAACAACACAAACGTGCACGAGCTCGTTCACCAAACAAACGTGCACTGACCTGGATCTCTGCTCTCTGATTGGTCTGTCGTCCCTCCAGTCGCTCCGACACGTTCCTGAGGAGACACGGTGGTTTAGCGCCACATAACGGGAGGGTCAGAGGGTCAGAGGTCACTCACAGCGGGTGGTTTGGGCCCCAGTAAACGCCGATCCCCGCCCGCGCCGAACTCTTCCCGTTGGCCGAGCAGCAGCCGTCTGTGTAAACCACCACACTGTATCACCCCTGCAGGCCACACCGGGAATTACACGCCGGGAATCACACCGGGAATCACACCGGGAATCACACACCGGGAATCACACACACCGGGAATCACACACCGGGAATGCCGGGAATCACACACCGGGAATCACACCAAGAATCACACACCGGGAATCACACACCGGGAATCACACACCAGGAATCACACACCGGGAATCACACACCCGGAATCACACACCAGGAATCACACACCAGGAATCACACCACAAGAATCACACACCAAGAATCACACCAAGAATCACACGCCAAGAATCACACCAAGAATCACACTCCAAGAATCATCACACCAGGAATACACACACTCTCCTCCTCTGCACCTCGTCCGTACCCATGTAAGTGAAGCCGTTGGAGCTGGCGGTCTTGGTCTCGGTCTTGGCGGTCTCGGTCTTGACTCGTTTCGTGGGCGTTTCCTGCTCGTCTTCAGCTCGCTGGCGCCTCTTGGGTCCGAGGGGGATGTACTGCAGCGGCTCGGGGCCCCGTTTGGGCAGAACCGCGGGAGCCGGGTCAGAACTCTGAGCTGCGGCGAGAACATGACAGAAGGAAAACACACAACTGCGTCACAAAGTAAAGCACGGCCATATGTCGTTTCTGTGTATACTCCGTGTTTGGCTGCTCTTGTGGCTGACTGACTGACACACTGAGCAGTTTTTAAACTTTTTCAAACATTTTAAGACATTTTTAAAGTTATTATTTGGGTATTTTGACCAACTAAGAAGTGCAGCTCGTGCAGTTCAAAGGACAGAAGTTAAGGCTAGTGGATTGTGATTTGAACAGTTTGTTTTTTCCTTTTTACAGCAAAGTAACAGGATTTCTTCACCAAATACGACAGAAGATGTTCCAGAGGATGAGAGGAAACGTGGATCTGATCCTTCAGACTTTTACGACGTCATATGTGACCCAGCGTACCTCACGTCAGAGTCCTGCTGCTGGACTTTTACAGGTGGATATGCGGGTAAATCAGGATCTAAACCAGGTCTAAACCAGGTCTAAACCAGGTCTAAACCAGGACTAAACCAGGACTAAACCAGGTCTAAACCAGGTCTAATCTTGGACTAATCTTGGACTAATCTTGGATCTTGAGAGACAGGGAGAACCTGGGCGACGGCTGCACTGAACTCTGTGAGGCGCCGGTCATTTCACCCACAGTCACATGACAGGTTACGTGGGCACCCATCTGGGTTCATCCCGACAGTCAGTCCTGGTTCAGTCCTGGTTCAGTCCTAGTTAGTTCTAGTTCAGTCCTGGATCAGTCCTGGTTCAGTCCTGGTTCAGTCCTGGGATCAGTCCTGGTTTAGTCCTGGTTTAGACCAGGTTTAGACCTTGTTTAGACCTGGTTCAGTCCTAGTTTAGTCCTAGTTCAGCCCCAGTTCAGTCCTGGTTTAGTCCTAAATTTTCATTTTGTGATTTTAATTCTTGACGTTGTGACTTTTCTGTTCGTATTCTGACGGATAAAATAAACACGACACTTTTTACGTACGACTCAACTCAATCCAGAGTTTACGAATATTTATTTTATGTTCAACTACAGACAAATATGCACCGATTTCTCTCCTATGCACACGAATCATTTAGTGTCGTTGTTCGTTGAGAGGCGCAACGAGAAAAAAAAATGCTTCAGTTAGAATGGTTTTTGTTTTGATTTTTTTTTTCTGCACCTGTCTCTGGTTTTGGAGGCGAAACGATCGGATTCTCTCCTCGGACGAAAGCCCAGGCGTCTTTCTCCGTCGGGAACTTTTTAAAGACGGCGGCGGGAAACTTGTCCACCTGCGATTTACATTCGTCCCTGAAACAAAACCAAAAAATTAAGAAAAATGTTAAAATAAAAATCTTAAAATAATGTTAAAATAAAATAATAATGTAAAATTTAAAATAATAATAACAATAACATTATTATTATTATTGTTGTTATTGCATGTTAAAGTTATGTTCTCACTAAATACGTATGTTTTACAAGTATGGCTAGTATTCGAACAACAACACTGTCTTAAAAGAGCGTTTTTGTCAATGAGGTTTGGTATGGCAATGATCAAATCTAAATCTAACACACTTAAACCATCCATAAAACATCCATAGTGTTGGTCGTAACGGGGCTATACCAGGTTTTGTAGACTCCGGGCTTGACTCCTTTCCTCACCGCGTAGTAAAACTTCCCCTTGGCCATGACTCCAGCGCCGCTCCACACCGACTTCCGAACTGCGCTGAAAAACCCGCTCAACCTGAACATAACCCGGTTTAATGCAACAGCGACGAGCCCGAGCCCAAAGCCATTATAACAGTGACTTCAAAACACACGTTACGAACAATTCGGCTTGATGTGTGCGTGTGATTAATGCTAGGTTTTATAGATAAATAACAAAATTGAACCGGAAAAGCTCCAGTGGCTACGCTCGTCACTCTGATAATCTCACCTTTTCGCTTCAGACACAGAAAATAGAGACTTTCACGAAACCAAACCTTCACACGTTACATATTTTTTATCCTTTGCTTCATAAACTGCACGTTAACTGACACTAAAATAAAATAAATACGCAGAAAATTCGCAGAAAAACAGAAAGTAACGTCAACAACTGCCAAGACAAACGGGCCGTGAGTTCAGACAAATCTCGCGATACTTTGAATAAACGCTGCGTTCGGATTACGATGTGATTTTTAAAATTTGTGTACAAATTGATCAATATTTTCTTTTATGGTCATGTTTTTCGAGCCAAAATCAGTTTAAAACCAGTTATTTTGATTTATAAAAATAACTGTTTATCTTAAAAAAAAAAAAAAAAAAAAAAAAAAAAAGGGGTTCTTTTGGCAAATATGTCGCTTTGTATTTTTATAATCCTACTTTTTTGATACACAAGGGAAATGATTTAGACACAGAAGTTCACACATCACAATATAATATAATAACAAAGAGAAAAAATATAAATGTTAATAAAAAATTCTAAATAAGTAGCAAAAAAGAGCAAGACACGAGTGTGAAATAAAACATAATTAAATTAAAATAACAAAATTAAAAACTGTGATTAAGTCGTGGATCAAACTAAATATTTACTGAAAATTTTTAACAACATCTGCATCTTTTCTCTTCTTTGGAGGTCTGTAAAGTTAAACCTTTTCTTATTAAATAAATGTTTAATAATAGTTTTGCTTAAACACTGAATCCAGAAGAAACAGAAAAACTTAAGAACATTTTAAATAAATCCTGTCTTTATAGTCTCTGTGTGCAGCGGCTGCAGCTCTGATACAGATTTGAGATCATCTCACGGACCAAATATAATTATATCATGGCCCAAATTTGGCTCCCAGGCCTGAGTTTGACATGTGTAGAATAGAAGAAGGGGTGGGACTAAATACATTTTCTTTTTCTGACTCCTTGTGGGGCAAATTTGTGTTGTTATTTGTGTTATGATTTCACTAATGTTAAATGTTCTATTGTAAAAGAATGTACAGTTCTTACTTGCCCAAGATAAATATACTAATACTACTACTACTACTACTACTACTACTACTACTACTACTACTACTACTATATTACTACTACTAACTACTACTACTACTACTACTACTACTACTACTACTACTACTACTACTACTACTACTACTACTACTACTACTACTACTACTACTACTATATTACTACTACTACTACTACTACTACTACTACTACTACTACTATATTACTACTACTACTACTACTACTACTACTACTACTACTACTACTACTACTACTGTTATTTCTGTTATGATTTCACTAATGTTAAATGTTCTATTGTAAAAGAATGTACATTTCTTACTTGCCCAACATAAATATACTACTACTACTACTACTACTACTACTACTACTACTACTACTACTACTACTATTACTACTACTACTACTACTATTACTATATACTACTACTACTACTACTACTACTACTACTACTACTACTACTACTACTACTACTACTATAATAATAATAATAATAATAATAATAATAATAATAATACACAAATACATTAATACATTAATATGCCAGATTTTTTATAATCCTACTTTATTTTGTTACTTGAACGTAGCTTTCCTACACGCTGGGCTGTGTTTACTCTCGCGAGATTTCCCAGGCCTCCCGCGCTGTGATTACCGCAACTCTCGCGATGTTCCGGTCTCTTCCTTGGCCGTCGTTGACAGAGGTTAGTCGTGACATTTCTTCCCGGATTCGCGTTTCTGCCTCAAACTTCGCTTTCGGAACGTTATACTCCTCGATTTCTGCGTCGGAATCCGAGTTAAGGCCGTGATGCGTTAGATTAAGGCGTTAAACGGGGTCGATGGCTTTTAAAATGTGTAAATTAAGGCGTAGTAGGAGCGGAGGGAGCTAACCGTGAAGCGCTGCGTGAACAGGCCGGACATGTGTTCAGTCCGGGCCGACGCGCGCTCACACCGGGATATTCGGCTTTTATTTGAGTTTTTCTGCTCCCAAAGTTCATTTTATACTTTTTAAATGTTTAACTCTTTCCGTGAACTTCGCAGAGCAGGATCCGAAGTGTGTTTGGGGCTGTGGGAGACGAGTTAGCCTCTGTTGTGGAGCTGCTGTGTGTTTAACTTTGAGCTTTTTGGAGTTGTTTTGGGGAGATTTTGGTGTTAGAAAGTTCCTAATTACAGCTAAAGTTTTAGTAAATCGAACTCTGTTTCAGTCATAAATCACGTGTAATGACCGTATGCCGTAGAACTGTCATCTCAGCCTGTCTTGAGTTTGGTTTTTGTTAAACTTTAAGACTCATTTTTCAAAGATCTGTAGCTACTGATGGTTCTGTTAAAATAAGAGTATCCAAATTATCTTTATTTATTGTATAGCAGTGTATTCCTTCCATACCTAAACTACTGTGTGGAAATATGGCCCAGTACTTAATAAATAAATCAAATATTAATACAATTTTCTACTCCAGAAGAAGGTTATTGGGATTATTAATCACACAAATCACTATGCATCAGCAAATCCTCTTTTTTTTAAACTAAAAGTACTTCAGTTTTTGATCTTGTTAACCGGAGTAGAGTCGTAGTGATGCACAAAGCCGAGAATCATCTATTTTCATCTTTGTTTGCAGGAGTTATTTGAGCAGAGAGTCAGTATCACCTTAGAGGAACAGGTATCTTAAAAAAATAAATGAAGATGAGAACTAAGAAAAAGCGTTTCTGTTCGAGGAGTGAGTTTGTGGAACAACATGGGTCTTAGAAGCCTTTAAAAAAAATATAAAGAGAGAGTATAAAGTATTAAGTTTTGAAAGATGTAGAGCTCTGGAATGAACGAACCATGTATTCAGTTTTGTCTCTCATACACAGTAAATCGTAAGTGAAATTGTAAATGCAACTTGCTTTTCATTCACTTTTTTTTTTTATCTTGGAGTTCTGTCATTGTTTAATAAGGTTTGGCATTATTAAGTATCTTTTACTTCAGCCTAAACCCTTTCAGATTTATCCAAAACCACTGATTTGTCCCAGTTTTATTCAAGAAATGTCTCAGGTGTCTCTATTTTGGACCAATCTGATCCCTGCCAACAGTAAAACGAGACGTAAACTGTCATTGGTTTAGATAAAATACAGAAAAGCTGCTTTAAAAACGACCAAAACACAGAAAATGTGACTCTACTGACTCATGTTTGTCATGAATTTTCCTTAAAGGTTGTATAGAGGATTTTGTAAGGGAAATACAGCGACAACTCACTCTTCTCTGTGTGTCCTGAATACATCTTTTTTTTTTTTTGTCATTTTAATTCCGCTTTTTACTTTGTGCAGAGACAAAGGCCATGTTCAGTACAAGCGCCAAGATTGTGAAGCCGAATGGCGAGAAGCCGGACGAGTTTGAGTCTGGGATTTCTCAGGTGAGTGCGAAACGTTAAACTGTTTTAGAGCCGTTTTATGATTGAGCACGACTTAAACTTAGACAAACTTTTGATCCACAAGGGAAATAATTTGGACACAGAAGCTCACACATCACAATATAATATAATAAAGTGTAAATAAGGAGCAAAAAGAGCAAGAGACACGTGTGAAATAAGACGCATACATGGGTCTGGTCAAGTAGTAACGGAGAAACGGGCAGATTTTTGACATTTTAATGTCTCTTATTCATAAACTAGAGGGACTATTGAAATAAGTAAAGTATCAGAATGTAGGAAAGAGTTACACTCCAACAGGGTCAAGTTAAACCTGTGAGATTCTTTCAAGTTGTTCACAAAATTCTCATGTCGGTAACGGAGGGAATGAAATATGCAGCACTTTTTGGTCAATAAATCCAAACAGTGATAACTCTTGGTTCTCACTTCCATATCCTTAACAAACTGGTTTGAATATTTGCTTCATATAGTTTTCTACCATATGGTACAAGATTAGGTTGAAAAACCTCTTACTTTTTGACTCATGAGATTTTTTTTATTAAGAAAGTTCATGGTAACGGAGGGAAAATTGTACAAACAAGTAGAAGGTGCAGGATTTTACATCATTTGTCACTTTTTTCTTCCGAATACTTTAATATTACTTCAAAATGAAACTATTTCTATAAAATATGTCAGTCCTTCCAAGAACATTTTTATCATTTTAAATTTTTTTTTTTTTTTTTAAATCCTGTCCCTTCATCAACAGTTCAAAGATCGAATAGATTAGTCAAAGATGAAGCTTGAAAGTTCACCTGAAGAGGATTTGCAGGTCTTTGAAATTTGGGAAATAATTTTTGTTCCATGTTTCATACATGGTCTGTTTAAAACAGATGGAACTTTAGAAGCAAAAATGGAACAGAAAAAAAGTCAACAGTTTGATAAACTAGAGTACATATGTATCTGTTCAATACATTTTTATATCAGATGAATTAACTTGAATTTCTGGCCTTGTTGTTTACTTCTGCTTGACTGGGCCCAATTGTATAAATGTTCATGTCAAACAAAATCCGTGAGGTTTCAGTTCAGATTTCTCTCACGCAGATAAACTTGTGTACAACTGTGTGATTCTTCATTTAAACGCTCCAGTGTCGTCTTTACTCCAGTAACTGTGTCCAGATGATCAGTGAATCTTCTACACCAGACCTGGGCCTTGTCCAGCTCCACATTTTATCATTTGACTTCATGCCTGGACTGAAGCTGCACTGTTTTTATTTGAGACTTGTTTTTTAAATGACATTTTTTGTTCTGCAGCTTCACTGTTTCATTACTGAGTCATGACATAAACTCTTACCAGTCATAACATTATTTTCTGCTTTTTATAAAGAAATACAACTAATATTCTGCAGAACTGAGTTAAACATTTTGGCCTCCACAATATTTTCCGTTTCTCAAGTGACCCCATGGAAAAAAGAATTGCCTTCCCCTGGTCTACGTTAAATTTAACTCAACTCTTCCACCTACTTTGAAATGTATATTTTCCGTAATTTTTCAATTAAATCCAGCTCTGTGCTAACTAATCTCCATTATGCTGTTCCATTTTAAATGAAATGTGCTTTTAGGACGTCTAACTTAAACTGATGCATGAAATGATTAACATGAGGCCCGTCCATCACAGCGACAGAGTTAAACACTGGAGGAACTGTTTTTATTTATTATAGGATGTTATTATTAGGGCTGGTGTCATTAAGAAAATTGCCAATACAGTGTAGTTTCAGTTCGATACGATATATTTCAAATTGATACCAGGAGGAAACAAACATTTTAATGCTCAAAACAGTGAAAATGTCAAATGTGTCGTATAAACAAGTTTCCTTCCTCTGAACAAACAACTAAACTGTAGCTGGAACAAAATTTCACAGAATATACCAAAAAAATACTCCTGGCGATATCAATACAGCAGCCCACGATTTCAATATTGCATCATCACATTAAACAATACGTTTATTTTTGCACTTCCCTAGTTATTACTGATTTGTATGTCTTTATATTTTTTATTTTTGTTCTGTATTCACCTATCGGCGTCTAAAGTAAAGCTCGGTTTTACACCGACAAGCGGAGAATAAACTCTGTGCTTAATGTTTTTCACTGTGAAAATCTGGTCACGTCCTTCAGCGTCTCATGTTGTGACCCGGTGTGTTTCAGGCTCTGCTCGAGCTGGAGATGAACTCCGACCTCAAGGCTCAACTGAGGGAGCTGAACATCACCGCCGCAAAGGTTTGTGTCGCCGCGCTGAAGCGAGGAGTCGAAAGTGTAAAGTGTAAAGCGGACGTGGGTGTGCCTCCAGTTCAGGCCCCCGAGTGGCGGACGGGCGCGTAGCTCTGAGCAGAGACGTACAGGCCCCTTCCACGACGTCCCACACGGAGCTGGTCCCGGCCGCGGCTGTGAGGACCCGGCCTGCATATTCCTACATCTCCCAGAGTCCTTTGGGCCGTGACTGGGCAGAATGACCATGCAGGACACAAACTCTTAAAAAACTTTAGTATAAAACAGTTAGATCCATTCGCTCTAACTCTGCCTGAACTCGCTGATGTGGATTTGAACTGAAACATGTGACATTGTGTGAACTGCAGCCTGATCTCTCCTCCTCCACTTTTTTTCTCTTCTCGATCCTCTGTCCTCCTCCTCACTCCCCTCTTCTCTTCCTTCTCTTTTGTCTCACCTCTTTCATCTTCTCCTCCATCATCTCCGCTTTTTCACTCCTCTTCTCCTTTCTCTCCTCGTTAATCTCTCCTCCTTCTCGCTCTCCTCTCCTTCTCTCCTCCTCACTCCTCTTCTTTCTCCTCCTTAATCTCCTTCTCGCTCCTCACCTCCTTCTCGCTCCTCTCTTCTCCTTTCTTCTCGCTCCTCTCCTCCTCCCTCTCCTCCTTTTCTCTCCTCTTCCATAATTTCTCCTTCTCACTCCTTTCACTCTCCTTTCTCTTCTCCTTAATCTCTCCTTTTTTCTCCTCCTCTCACTCCTTCATAATCTCTACTCTTCACTCCTCTTCTATTTTTCTCTTTATCTCCTCTTTCTTGCTCCTCTTCTCCTTTTTGCTCTCCCCTCACTCCTCTCCTCCTTCTCTCCTCACTCCTCTCCTTTCTCTCTCTACTCAGTCTCTCCTCCTTCTTGCTCCTCTCTTCTCCTTTTTGCTCTCCTCCTCTCTCCTCACTCCTCCTCCATAATCTCTACTCCTCACTCCTCTATCTCCTCTCTCCCCTTCTCCTTTATCTCCTCCTACTCGCTCCTCTTTCTTGCTTCTCTTCTCCTCTTTGCTCTTTTCCTCACTCCTTCCCTTTCTCTCTCCTCCTTTCTCTCCTCAATCTCTCCTCCTTCTTGCTCCTCTCTTCTCCTTTTTGCTCTCCTCCTTCTCACTCCTCTCGCTCTCCTCACTATTTTTCTTCTCTCCTTTTCTCTCCTCTCCTCCCTCCTCTCCTCCTCCCTCTCCTCCTCCTCCTTTTCTCTCCTCCTCTATAATATCTCCTTCTCACTCCTTTCTCTTCCTCCTTTCACTCCTCCTTCCACTCCTCCCTTCACTCTTCCTTTCTCTCTCCTCCTCCTTTCACTCTTCCTTTCTCTCTCCTTTTGCTCCTCCTTTCTCTCTCGTCCTCCTTTTTCTCTCCTCCTTCATAATCTCTACTCTATTTTCTCTCTCCTCTTCTCCTTTATCTCCTCGCTCCTCTTTCTTGCTCCTCTACTTTTTGCTGTTTTCCTCACTTCTCTCCTTCTCACTCCTCCCCTTTCTCTTTCTCCTCAATCTCTCCTCCTTCTTGCTCCGCTCTTCTCCTTTTTGCTCTCTCCTCCTCCTCTCCTCGCTATTTTTCCTCTCGCCTTCTCTCCTCTCCTTCTCATTTTTCTCTATAATCTCTTCTCCTTCTTGCTCCTTTCTCCTTCTTCTCCTTTCACTCCTCCTTTCTCCCTCCTTTATAATCTCTACTCTTCTATTTTCTCTCTATCTCCTTCTCACTCCTTCTTTTTGCTTTCTCCTCCTCCTTCTCACTCTTCCCCTTTCTCTCGCTTCCTTTCTCTCCTCAGTCTCTCCTCCTTCTTGCTCCTCTTCTCCTTTTTGCTCTCCCTCCTTCTCACTCCTCCTCTCTCTCTTTCTCATCCTCGTCTTTGTGGTTTTCAGGAGATTGAAGTTGGCGGGAGCAGGAAAGCCATCATCATCTTCGTTCCGGTGCCGCAGCTCAAGTCGTTCCAGAAGATCCAGGTGCGTCTGGTCCGAGAGCTGGAGAAGAAGTTCAGCGGGAAACACGTGGTCTTCATCGCTCAGGTGAGTCGCGGCGCCGTGGAAACGCGAGGGGATGGAGCCCGGGATTCTGTTTGGACTGAATTCTTTAACATTTTGATACTGTTTGATTTGAGAAGTTTGTCGTGTGTCTCACATGGAAAGGAGCGGCTCTTAACGAGGTTTTTAATCTTTGAAGCTATAGCCTCGTTCAGTTGAGTTCAGCAGTGGATTATTTGAGTAGTGAGTTGTTTAAGTTAAAAGTTGAGCAGTGTTGTGTAGAGATGTAACAGTAGTCGAAGTATCGTGTTATCGTTTTTGTCCAAGTTCTCACTGTATCGTCACAATATATTAACTTATAAACTTTCTTAAATGCATTATTTAGCTAAGAAAATTGAGGAAATTATACAGATTCTGATCTTTTAGGCTGTGTTCAGACTGCACCTGAAGTGACCCAAATCTGATTTTTTTGTCTCTATGTTCCTGTATCTGATCTTTTAATGTCTGAACGACACAGATCTGATTTTTTTCAAATGTGACTCAGGACACTTGGATCTGTGCTCCTGAAACTGATCCATATCTGATCTTTAACATGTGACTTGAGTGTGAACAGTCAGGTCACATTCATCCACCTACACGTCATCAACAAGACACAAACGTCACTATTCTGCACTGAAGTAGGAGAAAACTGTTCATGATCCATGTGACTGAAGTGAAGCACATCTCCACTCACCACAAAACACCACCACCAAAAACCTGGTCCTTCTCCTTCTCAATCTCCTCCTTAAAACAAGTCAGTTGTTCATGTTGTGGCTCCGGTACGAGAGGAACTTTAAAATCTCCAGGTGCTCGATGCTGCGTCCATGTTTGTTCAACTTGTGTAAACACAGAGACGCTCGCTGCGGTTGACGTCGTCGTGTCTCCAGTGTCACATGTGGGACACTTTTGGACCGTTTAATGTTCACACTGGAGTCACACACAAGTCACATTTAACTGGAAATGTGAACGACCTCGAAAAAACATCAGATTTCACAAAAAAATCGGAATTGAGCGTTAAGCCCTGCAGTCTGAACGTAGCATTAGTTCCATTTCAATGCAGAAAACATGCAGAAATACGTGTTAGAACATTTCCATCTTTATTTTTTGGGCTCTGACACTAATACAGCCCCAAGTCGAGGCTTTTTAAAAAGGAAGTCTCATTTCTTCATTTCTGCGTCACAATATGGCAGTAAATATATCGTGAAATGTGTTTTGTATTTGTATCGCACCGTGTGATTTATATCATTACACCCAGAGCGTCGTCTCTCGTGAGTCGTGGACGTGACGTTCACTTGATTCTTTCGCTGAACAAAGTTTTACATCTGTTTGGAGTAAAACCGACAGATTAAAGCAAAGGGTCATGTTCCAGTGACTGTTAAAAACACAAACATGAGTGTCCGACCTTTTTCATCGGGTGAGCTCCTTTTACAGTATGAAAATTCCAGAGAGCTGCTCATTTCAACGTCTCAGGAGATAAAGTGAACGTAAGAGCCGTGGCCAGACTTGGATGGAAACAGTTGGATAAAACCTAAAGCATGAATCATTTATGAGCACCCAGTCAGGCATCAAAATAATAGATTTACAATAATAATAGGCATTTAATTCATCAAATTTGAGTTGTTCAGGGCAACACGTGTATTTCATAAATCCTTTGAACTTCTGGTAGCTCCCGAGCTTCTGGTTGGAGACTCCTGATCTAGACGCCGCTCGACTTTAATCCAAACCTTCATCTGTTTTTGTGAACTCTGCTCGTTTAAGACGTGTTATTCAGTCACACTAGGGCTGAGATCATTAAGAAGTTGCCGATACGATACACACCTCAAATACAGTGCACGTTCGATTTGATATATTTCAAAACAATTCAATAAAAATATCGAAATCAAGGCTGTGACACTAAAAGTCTTTGTTAAATTACGTCTTGTTCAAAGTTCATATGAAGCACAAACATTTAAATCATCAAAACAGTGAAAATGTCAAATGTGTCTCACAAACGAGTTTAATTCCTCTAAACAAACGACAAAACTGGAGCTGGAACAAAATAATAGATTAAAATACTACAAATACAGCAGCCCACGATATCGATACTGTATCATCACATTAAACGATACAATAGTTTTATTTTTTTGCACACCCTAGTTCCCACAGTCATGGAAATCCTGGAAAAGTCCTGGAATTTTAGTCTTTCCTACAGCTCCAGTGTTCTGTTCAGTTCTCATGAGTCTGTTCTGATTTTTTGTAAACGTTTGTGCCTTTTTGTTTAAAAGAGACGACAGTAAATGCACTGACAGGATTTAAGAATGTTCAGAAACTATAATCCCAAACCATAAGGTGAGTGGAAAGAGTTAAACGTTTCAGATTTACACCTAAAAGTCTGATCAGTTCTACACATGGAGGTGCTGGAAAGTCATGGAAAACTCACTGTAGCTCATGAAAAAGTTGTGAAATATCAGTGAAAAAGAGTGGGAACCCTGAAAGGAGCGGCTCTGAACGAGGCTTTTGTTTCAAACTTTTGCCTCGTTCAGTCGGGTTCAGCAGTGGATTATCTGAGTAATAAGTTGTTTAAATCTTGAGCAGTGTTGCATCTTGTGAGGTGTTTTTTTTTTTTTTTGGTCTTTTAGTTTTATTGAGACTTGACTCTTATGCAAAACCGTGAGTTTACCGACGTGGGTGTGCCTCCAGTTCAGGCCCCCGAGTGGCGGACGGGCGCGTAGCTCTGAGCAGAGACGTACAGGCCCCTTCCACGACGTCGCACACGGAGCTGGTCCCGGCCGCGGCTGTGAGGACCCGGCCTGCATATTCCTACATCTCCCAGAGTCCTTTGGGCCGTGACTGGGCAGAACGACCATGCAGGACACAAACAAAACTCACACTTGATTAGATGTAAACCGTCGCACGTGTAAACCTGAGAGTTTGAGTTGAGTGACTGAACCTGTGTGTTTTTTATTTTCAGAGGAGAATTCTGCCCAAGCCCACGAGGAAAAGCCGCACGAAGAACAAGCAGAAGCGTCCCAGGAGGTACGACACAAACATGTTTTACACCAGGGCTCATCTGTGTTCGTGTTCTGAGGTGAAACTGGAGCAGGTGTTGGACCCAGAGTCTTGAATTTACCTCCAGCACAAGTAGTTTTTAGTATTGATGCACCGATACTGGTATCAGATATCGGCACCAAAATTAAAATTCAGAAATATTAGTTTGACTTGAGTTCAGCCGATCTCCTGGTTGGATCTTTTTAACAGGATGTATAACAAAATTTAAAGTCTGGTTTTGTCCCAGAACGTCTCAGAATGTCAGAAGTTTGACTCACAGCAGTTCAGTGGAGATTTGAGAGAAACAACAGCTGCGTGAAGTGGAGCTCGTGGAATTTGTGTGTCATTCTTTTTTCAATATAAAACCAAAAATAAGACAACGGAAAAACATTTGTCTCCAAAACCAAAATGAAAAAACATAATTCGTTTTTTCAGTTTTCAATTTTGTTTTTAAATGAAAAATAGAAAAAAAACAACTGCTTTCGTGACTTAAACTGCGATGCCAGACTCTTGCGCCACATATGGACTGAACCAGGACTAACCAGACTGGGACCGAGACTGGGACCGAGACCGGGGGCTTGGGAACAGGTTCAGTCCATATGCGGCGCAAAAGTCCAGCATCTCAGTTTAAGTCACGTAAACGGTTATCAGTTTTTTCCATTTTTCATTTAAACACAAAATCGAAAACTTAAAAAAACGAATCGTTATCTGTTTTTTCATTTTGGTTTTGGAGACAAATAATGAAGAAAACGTTTGTTTTTTAGGTTTCATATTTTTGGTTTTATATTGAAAAACAAATGACAAATTAAAACTGGGGACTGACAAAAAGACAGAAGTGTGGAACAGTTTTGGAATATTATTATTATTATTAATATTATTATTATTATTAATATTATAATTATATATTTACAGTTGCTCTCAGTCTCCTCTCCATAGATCTGACCTGTAACTTTACCCGGAGACTTCAGACTCTTGAGCAGCTTTTGAGATTCGTCTAAACTGAACTCAAACACAGACGTGGGTTTAGTGTTTTTATAAATCAGGTTTATTTATTTTCAATTATTTTGTTATTAATTTTCCAAGACGATACTTACACATGAGCAAATATTGTTTAAGGAACAAACATTTTCTTAAACTTAAACTGCCAAATAAAATACAGATTTTTACTTTTATATTGAAAAGAGAAAAAATAAAAAAATAAATAAACGGAAAACGCCCCTGATGTAAAACTATAAAAACTATAAAAATAAATAAAAATGTAACTGGACGTGGGTGTGCCTCCAGTTCAGGCCCCCGAGTGGCGGACGGGCGCGTAGCTCTGAGCAGAGACGTACAGGCCCCTTCCACGACGTCCCACACGGAGCTGGTCCCGGCCGCGGCTGTGAGGACCCGGCCTGCATATTCCTACATCTCCCAGAGTCCTTTGGGCCGTGACTGGGCAGAACGACCATGCAGGACACAAACAAACTCACATAAATGTCACATAAACGTCACATTTTCCAGCTCTGGTTTGTCTGCGTCGTTGTTTCTAGGCCTGTAACGATAATTAATAAATCGATTAATCGTACGTTAACTTAACGAGCTCAATCACTTTTCCAGCCACGATAAGTTCTATTTGCATGTTTGTTTTCCTCGCTCTCTCTCGCTCTCAAAGACACTGAATGTTAGAAGCTTCTTTCGCTCTGACGCGTCTCATTCAACAAGTGGAATGACGCTTGAACCAACGTGCGCCGTGTTTATCACCTGAGCGGACGTGCGCGTAGTCTGTGCGCTAACAACACGAGCGCCGCGGTCAGTGACAAAACACTTCATCTCCATTCATCACCAAAACAAGTCACGATGCCGAATCAACACTGGTGAGCGGGACACGCCTCAACAGACACGTGCGTCAAATACAGCGAGTGAAACGCAAACGACGAGAAGAAATGTCCCAAACCCGAGCGACAGAACTCGCCTAGCGTCCAGGAGAACCCGAAAACTGACCGACACGACACCAGACAGGACAGAGGCTCCATCAGAGAGAAACAGGATCCTGTGTCGCGTTAACTCTTTCCCCCCTGGACGCCGACTAGGAACAACCCACACATGTGTTACTAGGGCTACACCCATAGAGCATCACTGCATAAAAGAGAACACACTTCCACCAGTGATTATAAATGATTTTTACACTCATGAACTTAATTGTAACACAGACATATTTGTATCTCTGGAAACTTTAGACTCTGAACTCTTCATTTATGGATGTTTAAATGTGATTCAACTCATTTACAGGTTTATAACAGCTCACTGAAAATGAGAGTTTACCTGGTCAGGTGCAAACTCGAAAACAAAAAACTACATTCAGCATCTGATATCTGCATGTTCTGAGTATTATATTCATAAAAAAAATAAAAAATATACTTTGTCAAAGTATTTAAACAGATTTCATATCAGCAGAGATACAGTAAAGCCAAGTGTTCACCTGTTTTTACCTGTTGTTCACCTGTGTGCACCTCATTCATTTTTTTTCCATTTAGCTTATTCAACTCATTTAACTTATTCAACTTATTTTTATTCATTCAACTCATTTAGCTTATTATAATATAATAATAAAACTCTTCCCCGTCAGTGTGTGTCCAGTATTTTGTCATCTTGGTTATTTTCTCGTGTGCAGAGCTCCACATAAGTGTTTTTTCTGTAGTGATTCTGTTTTATACGTCGCATCTTTTGAGGGAAAAAAAACTGAAAATATTTTTAAAGGACTGGTCTGGAGCAACATCCAGATTTCAGGGCAATTTTTGGTTCATAATCGAGTATAAAGCTCAGATAGTTTGTTTGGATATCGCTCTCTTCAATAATTCCCTGTTTTAAAAGAATCCAGAGTGTGTTTCCGTGTGGCGTGGATGATCTGACGGCGTGTGTGTGTGTGTGTGTGTGTGTGTGTGTGTTTCAGTCGTACCCTGACGGCCGTGCACGACGCCATCCTGGAGGACCTGGTGTTTCCCAGCGAGATCGTGGGCAAAAGGATCAGAGTGAAGCTCGACAGCAGCCGCCTCATTAAAGTGCATCTGGACAAGGCTCAGCAGAACAACGTGGAACACAAAGTAAGCGCGACACTAGCAGGCTAATGACGCACCTACTGCACAACACACACACGACTGGAGTAGGGCCGGGTATCTTTAAGAATTTGTTGATACGATGCACACCTCGATACGTGGACCACAATTCAATATATTTCACGTTGATTCGATACGGTTCAGTGACAAAAAAGACAAAATTGTGGCTGTGATACTGAAAGTTTAAAGTTTTAACGAAATTTATGCAAAGTTAAAATGAAAAACGCCAATTTTTCTCATCAAAACAGTGAGAATGTCCACACTTTTGTAGCTTTTACACAGAATGATTTAGTAAAATAAACCAAAAAGTGACTCCCGGTGATGTATCGATACAGCAGCCCACGATATCGAGACTGTATCATCCAATTAAACAATACGATATATCGATATTTCAGTATTTTTGCACAGCTGTAGACAGGACGACACTGGACACGGCTCAGAACAAAAAACACACGCTAGGACTGCGCAGCACGGAGGGGACGACAGTCCCACAAACTAAATCGGAGTGTAAAATTATACAAACGATGAATGTGAGAAGATCAGGCATCATCTGTGCTGGAGATTTTATTTAGTATTAGTAAGAACATTGGTAAGTAAGTAAGAACATTAGTAAGCAGCAGAGCGTCCCCCGTCCCGTCCGCCACACGGGCTGCACCACTAAGCCAGGACTAAAAACGGGTCTGAAACAGGATTTAGCCACCGGACGCCCCCCGCGTCTCTTCCTCCTCCCAGACGCAGCCCAGTTCCTTTCGCTTTTCCATGTTTGATGGAGCTTAAAGCAAAGGTTCCCATCCTGCGGGACTGAAAATTAGAATTCTTTGTGGGAGCGGGACTGTACTGTGGGCCCGTCTTCAAAAACCCCTCCAGATTTTGTTTCATGAATCATTTTTCTGAACATTAAAAATCCTCAGTGTGTCTGTGTCGTTGCCTCAGATAAAACTCCTGGACGCTTTTGCAGTTTTTTTAGACCAAAAAATCATCACCAGACTCACTGTGAAGTCAAACGTGAAGTGAAGCTTCAGTTTGTAAATGTTTGGTCACACAGGTGCAGTTTACAGAGGCGTGGCTGCCCAGGGGCCCCTAAACCTGGAGGGGCCCCCAGCCAGTTGCCCTCAAAGCAATTTATGACATTAAATGAGAGTAGTTTTACTTTTAAACAGTAATCAGAAGAAAAACAATCACATGTAATGGATGGCCTTCAGAAATGGAGTTTCTAAACATGTAAAATAGAAATGTAACGATATCCACATCTCATGGTAAAATATTATCATGATTCACATCTCACGGTACGAGATTTATTGTGATATTTATTGTGATATTTATTGTGATATTTTGTGGAGGCAAACAAACAAAACTTATTCTTTTTTCCTCCTTGACAAAATTTAATCCAAAGAACTAAGACTTTAAAGTGTTAAAACTGTTATTTCTTCATGTAGTTTGCACCAAAATGGAGCAAAGGATCATGGTCTATGTAGTTTCCGCTGTGTTTTAACTGTTACTGCACCAGAACAATGAATTTAAGCAAAGAAACTTTTGTGATAGTCCACGATATTGAGACTTTTGATGATACGATATCACGATATTTTGATTATTGTTACACCCCTGATGTAAAACTGTAAAAATAAGTAAATAAAAATGTAACTGGACGTGGGTGTGCCTCCAGTTCAGGCCCCCGAGTGGCGGACGGGCGCGTAGCTCTGAGCAGAGACGTACAGGCCCCTTCCACGACGTCCCACACGGAGCTGGTCCCGGCCGCGGCTGTGAGGACCCGGCCTGCATATTCCTACATCTCCCAGAGTCCTTTGGGCCGTGACTGGGCAGAACGACCATGCAGGACACAAACTCTAAACTCACACAAAAACTGTCAACGCCGAGTCCTGAGCCGAGGGATTCGAACCATTTCAAATGTTTCAGAATCTTATGTTTTCTGTGATAAACTCATTCAGACGCGTTGAAGAAATCTCCTCAATCCATGTATCTGTTTTTCAATATAAAATGGAAAAAAAATAAATAAAATTTGTCTCCAAACCCATAATGATTTGTTTTTTAATTTTTCGATTTTGTGTTTAAATGAAAAATGGAATAAATGGATCACAGCCCAAGCCGGGACTCATCTGTTTTCGGTCCCGGCCTCGGGTCCCGGCCTCGGGTCCCGGCCTCGGGTCCCGGCCTCGGGTCCCGGCCTGGTTTAGTCTGTTGCCTGTTTTTTCCATTCTTCATTTAAACACAAAATTGAAAAATGAAAATTGAATCATCTGTTCATTTTGGTTTTGGAGAAAAATAATGAATAGTTGTTTTGTTTTTGTTGTTTTTGTTTTATTTTGTCTTTTTATTTTGTCTTGTTTTGAAGATCACACTTGACATTTTAGATTTTAGTTTAATTTGGAGATATTCCTGAGATTCTAAATTATTGCAGTCGTCTGCTTCTCTCAATCTTCCACCTTCTTCTACCTGTGGAAAAGAAATGTATCATTGTTCTTTTTGACTGATGCCAGCAGAGGGCGCCAGAACTCCACCTGCAGGACCTGATTTTTTTTTTTTAAGTTCACAACGTGGATTTTGTAAAGACAGATTCAACTTGAGACTCATGAGTTTGAGTTTTTAGAAAAATGCCAAATCTTAATCCTCACTCGTCCTTCCTGCTTCTGATCTAAAAAATATTCTTGACTAAGACACATTTTGGCCGACAGCCGTTTGTGTCCATCTGACTGAATCATGTTTTTTTTTTTCCTGTTTCAGGTGGAGACGTTCTCTGGCGTCTACAAGAAGCTCACAGGGAAAGACGTCGTGTTCGAGTTCCCCGAGTTCCAGCTGTAAATGACAAACCAATAAATTTGTGTACTGTTCACGTTTGTGCGTCTCACTCCTCTGTGTTTCATGTTTTAAAATCAAAAACGATAATGAAACCAAACTCTGAAGCACATTTATTCAGACTGTTCGAAACGTAGAGAATTGTCAAATATGATCTGCAAGAAATCAGTGACTTTAGTTCGTATAAGAGTTGGAAAAAAAAAATTCCATCTGCAGCTCAAATCTCATTGTACAGAAACAGTTTCCCGGTGAATATCGACCTAAAAATGTTTTCCTTTTGTCACGTTCTGAACCAAAAAGACTCACGTTTGCTCACGGTTCCATTTTAAATTCACTCATTTATCAGTTTAATTTCACAACAGAATTTTCTCAAGTATTACTGCCCAGTTAGTTTTACTTGAGTAACTTTTTAAAGAAATGGTCCTGGTTTAGACCTGTTTTTAGTCCTGGTTTAGTCTTGGTTTAGTCCTGTTTTTTAGTCCTGGTTTTCAAGTCCTGTTTTTAGTCCTGGTTTAGTCCTGGTTTAGTTTTAGGACCTGTTTTTTAGTCCTGGTTTAGTCCTGGTTCAATCCTGTTTTAGTCCTGGTTCAGTTCTGGTTTAGTGTAAAATGTTTTGAATTTCTACAAAATCTGGTTTTAAATGAGACAAATACAGAGTTGAGTATTACTGCTCAGTTACTTTTAATTGAGTATCTTTTTAAAGACGTGGTACTTTTACTTTTACTGGAGTAAAATACTGTACAGAAGAAACCCGACTAAGTTTTTTGTGCCCTTAAAATTGCACAAAATTTGGTGTTTTCAAAGTTTAGTCAAATCACTTTCACTTCAGATCATAAACGAGGTGTTTATATCCCGACAGTCGCGCTGGTTTTCCCCAAATACTCTTCTCTAGTACTCGAGTATTAATATTTTGAAGTAATTTTACATAAGAACAGTTTTTGGCTCGTCCAGCTCCAGTCCAAACACTTTTAACTCTTCAAATCTAAAAACAAGGGGATTATTTGCAGAAAAAAACAAGTGTTCATTTCACAACAGCCTCCAGGTGGCGCCAAAACCCCAAAGAATCAAAACAAGTTCAGAACCTCAAACTAAACACAAAACAGGAGATTTAGACTTTTACATTTGACTCATTTGGACAAAAAACCCCAAATCAAACAGTTTTCATGAATCCTGCAGCAAACAGGAAATATTCAGTCGTTTATTTACAAAGTCAAAGTGAGAAACGGACAAGTTCAAGACGAGACTGAACAGAAAGAAAATGTTTCAGCTTTTTAAAAATCTCTTTAAAATGTTTTTAAAACTGTAACAGAAAAAAACACTCACAGCTTCTCGTCCTGCACAACAGAAAAATGACAAATACGATTCTTTAAAAGCAGATTTTTGAGTTTCAGACGCTCGTCATTCCTGAGTATTTTTTACAAAGTTGTTCGTTTGTCAGATTCCACAAGAGGGAGCCACCGAGTCCTGGTTTAGTCCTGGTTTAGACCTGGTTTAGTCCTGGTTTAGTCCTGGTTTAGACCTGGTTTAGTCCTGGTTTAGACCTGGTTTAGTCCTGGTTTAGTCCTGGTTTAGTCCTGGTTTAGTCCTGGTTTAGTCCTGGTTTAGACCTGGTTTAGTCCTGGTTTAGTCCTGGTTTTAGTCCTGGTTTTAGTCTGGTTTAGACCTGGTTTAATCCTGGTTTAGACCTGGTTTAGTTCCTGGTTAGTTCTGGTTAGCCTGGTTTAGTCCTGGTTTAGACCTGGTTAGACCTGGTTTAGTCCTGGTTTATCCTGGTTTAGACCTGGTTTAGTCCTGGTTTAGTTCTGGTTTAGTCCTGGTTTAGTTCTGGTTTAGACCTGGTTTAGTCCTGGTTTAGTCTGGTTTAGTTCTGGTTTAGACCTGGTTTAGTCCTGGTTTAGTCCTGGTTTAATTGGTTTAGTCCTGGTTTAGACCTGGTTTAGTCCTGGTTTATTCTGGTTTAGTTCTGGTTTAGTCCTGGTTTAGTTCTGTTTAGTTTAGTTCTGGTTTAGTCCTGGTTTAGTTCTGGTTTAGTTCTGGTTTAGTCCTGGTTTAATCCTGGTTTAGTTCTGGTTTAGTCCTGGTTTAGTTCTGGTTTAGTCCTGGTTTAGTTCTGGTTTAGTCCTGGTTTAGTCTGGTTTAGTCCTGGTTTAGTTCTGGTTTAGTTCTGGTTTAGTCCTGGTTTAATCCTGGTTTAGTCCTGGTTTATTCTTTAGTCTGGTTTAGTCCTGGTTTAGTCCTGGTTTAGTTCTGGTTTAGTTCTGGTTTAGTCCTGGTTTATCCTGGTTTAGTTCTGGTTTAGTCCTGGTTTAGTTCTGGTTTAGTCCTGGTTTAATCCTGGTTTAGTTCTGGTTTAGACCTGGTTTAGTTCTGGTTTAGTCCTGGTTTAGTTCTGGTTTAGTCCTGGTTTAGTTCTGGTTTAGTTCTGGTTTAGTCCTGGTTTTAATCCTGGTTTAGTTCTGGTTTAGTCCTGGTTTAGTTCTGGTTTAGTTCTGGTTTACCTGGTTAGTTCTGGTTTAGACCTGGTTTAGTTCTGGTTTAGACCTGGTTTAGTTCTGGTTTAGACCTGGTTTAGTTCTGGTTTAGACCTGGTTTAGTTCTGGTTTAGACCTGGTTTAGTTCTGGTTTAGACCTGGTTTAGACCTGGTTTAGAAAGGCTTTTTCTTTAGGCAGTTTTAGATGTTTTCAAACTGAAACGGTGGAACTTTAAATGGTCTAAAACTGGCTTAGTCCTGTTATAGTCCTGGTTGAGATCTGGTTCAGTCCTGGTTCAGTCCTGGTTGAGATCTGGTTCAGTCCTGGTTTAGTCCTGTACAAGAGAACATGACAAGTACTAGTTCTTTAAAAGCAGTTTTTTGAGTCCTGCACACTTGTAATTCCTGAGTATTTTTACAAACTTGTTCATTTATCAGATCCCACAAGAGGGAGCCGTCGAGTCCCGGTTTAGACCTGGTTTAGTCCTGGTTTAGTCCTGGTTTAGTCCTGGTTCAGACTCAGTTTAGCTCTTGTTTAGTCCTGGTTTAGAAAGGCTCTTTCTTTGGCAGTTTTAGATGTTTTCAAACTAAAACAGAGGAACTTTAACTGGTCTAAAACTGGTTTAGTCCTGGTTTAGTCCTGGTTTAGTCCTGCACAAGAGAAAATGACAAAAAAGTTTGTTTAAAGCAAATTTTTGAGTTCCACATGCTCATAATTCCTGAGTACTTTTGCATAAACCATTCAGCTGTTCATTTGTCACAAGACGGAGCTGTGGAGTCCCGGTTCAGACCTGGTTTAGACCTGGTTCAGACCTGGTTCAGACCTGGTTTAGACCTGGTTCAGACCTGGTTTAGACCTGGTTTAGACCTGCCTTAGCTCTTGTTTAGTCCTGGTTTAGTCCTGATTTGCTTTTTTTTTTAGGCAGTTTTAGATGTTTTCAAACTGAAGCGGTGGAACTTTAAATGGTTTAAAACTGGTTTAGACCTGGTTCAGTCCCGGTTGAGATCTGGTTCAGTCCCGGTTCAGTCCTGGTTTAGTCCAGACCTTCGTTTCTTCGTTTCAGTGACTCAGGAGTCGCAGTCGGGACAGCCAGCCCCCGATCACGGAGCCGGCTTTGCTCCTGGACCCGGGTCTGGTCTCGGGTCTGGTCTCAGGTCTCGGTCCCGGTCCTCGGTCCCGGTCCGGACCCCGGTCCGGTGTCGGGTCCGGGGTCGGGGTGGGGGTAGGGGATGGTGGCGCTGTGGTGGAGGTCGGGGCCGAGGAAGCAGTGACTCCCTCTGATGTGGTCGACGCCGCGACCTGGAGGCCGAGCGCGGAACTGCACCGGCAGAAGCCCCTCCTCCAAAACCACGGAGACTCGATCATTACTCACACAACGATGAAGACCTGCAACCAGACCACGTTTAGACCACGTTTAGACCACGTTTAGACCACGTTTAGACCGCGTTTAGTCCTGGTTTAGTCCTGGTTTAGTCCTGGTTTAGTCCTGGTTTAGTCCTGGTTTAGTTTAGTCCTGGTTTAGTCCTGGTTTGGTCCTGGTATAGTCCTGGTTTAGTCCTGATTTAGTTTAGTCCTGGTTTAGTCCTGGTTTTGGTCCTGGTTTAGACCTGGTTTAGTTTAGTCCTGGTTTTAGTCCTGGTTCCTGGTCCTGGTTTAGTTTAGTCCTGGTTTAGTCCTGGTTTAGTCCTGGTTTAGTCCTGGTAGTCCTGGTCCTGTTTAGTCCTGGTTTAGTCCTGGTTTTCCTGGTTTAGTCCTGGTTTAGTTTAGTCCTGGTTTAGTCCTGGTTTGGTCCTGGTTTAGTCCTGGTTCAGTCCTGGTTCAGTCCTGGTTTAGTCCTGGTCCAGTCCTGGTTTAGTCCTGGTCCGGTCCTGGTCCAGTCCTGGTTCAGTCCTGGTTCAGTCCTGGTTTAGTCCTGGTTTAGTCCTGGTTTAGTCAGTCCTGGTTTAGTCCTGGTTCGGTCCTGGTTTGGTCCTGGTTTAGTCCTGGTTTAGTCCTGGTTCGGTCCTGGTTCGGTCCTGGTTCGGTCCTGGTTCGGTCCTGGTCCGGTCCTGGTTTAGTCCTGGTCCGGTCCTGGTCCAGACCTTTCCGTGGATGGACTCTGGAGCTCAGGTCTGTGGGCATTGACACTGGTCGAGTTTTACCTGAACAAAAACAAAAAGATTAAAGCAACACTACGTCATTTTCTGCTCGTCTCCATGGAGATGCTGTCGTTTCGTCTGGAGTCTGAAATGTTCCACAGTGTCTTTTTATTTATTTACTCAGTTACAGGTGATTTTTTTTTTTACATGGAGTCAGCTGCTCGTTTCCATGGAGACTGAAGTGTGGAACATTCCAGAAACAACAACATCATCATCGCCATGGAAACAGAGAAACATCCACCAGGAAAGTTACACAGACGTTTACATCATGTTTTTTAAATTATTTTGAGTTAAAATCTTCTCCTTTTACATGGAAATAAAAATTCTGAATTGAGGTTTATGAGGAAAACTTGTAAATCTGTGTTTCATTTGTTCATGAGTTTTCAAAATAAAAATTAAAAATTAAAAAAACGAAAAAAAAAAAAAAACTAAACAAATATTCTTCATTATTTGTCTCCAAAACCAAAATGAACAAAACAGAAAATGATTTGTTTTTTCAATTTTTGATTTTGTGTTTAAATGAAAAATGGACAAAACGGATAACGGACTAAACCAGAACTAAACCAGGACTAAACCAGAACTAAACCAGGACTAAACCAGGACTAAACCAGACTAAACCAGGACTGAACCAGGACTAAACCAGGAACTAAACCAGGACTAAACCAGGACTAAACCAGGACTAAACCAGAACTAAACCAGGACTAAACCAGAACTAAACCAGGACTGAACCAGGACTAAACCAGGACTAAACCAGGACTGAACCAGGACTAAACCAGAACTAAACCAGAACTAAACCAGGACTAAACCAGAACTAAACCAGAACTAAACCAGGACTAAACCAGGACTAAACCAAACTAAACCAGAACTAAACCAGGACTAAACCAGGACTAACCAGAACTAAACCAGAACTAAACCAGGACTAAACCAGAACTAAACCAGAACTAAACCAGAACTAAACCAGGACTAAACCAAGACTAAACCAGACTAAACCAGAACTAAACCAGGACTAAACCAGGACTAAACCAGGACTAAACCAGAACTAAACCAGGACTAAACCAGAACTAAACCAGAACTAAACCAGAACTAAACCAGACTAAACCAGAACTAAACCAGAACTAAACCAGAACTAAACCAGGACTAAACCAGAACTAAACCAGAACTAAACCAGGAACTAAACCAGGACTAAACCAAGACTAGACCAGAACTAAACCAGAACTAAACCAGAACTAAACCAGGACTAAACCAAGACTAACCAGGACTAGACCAGGACTAAACCAGGACTAAACCAGAACTAAACCAGGACTAAACCAGGACTAAACCAGGACTAAACCAGGACTAAACCAGGACTAGACCAGGACTAGACCAGGACTGAACCAGAACTAAACCAGAACTAAACCAGGACTAAACCAGGACTAAACCAAGACTAGACCAGGACTAAACCAAGACTAGACCAGGACTAGACCAGGACTGAACCAGGACTAGACCAGAACTAGACCAGGACTGAACCAGGACTAAACCAGGACTAAACCAGAACTAGACCAGGACTGAACCAGGACTAGACCAGGACTAAACCAAGACTAGACCAGGACTAGACCAGGACTGAACCAGGACTAGACCAGAACTAGACCAGGACTGAACCAGAACTAAACCAGGACTAAACCAGGACTAAACCAAGACTAGACCAGGACTAGACCAGGACTAAACCAGGACTGAACCAGGACTGAACCAGAACTAAACCAGGACTAGACCAGGTCTAGACCAGGACTAAACCAGGACTGAACCAGGACTAGACCAGGACTGAACCAGGACTAGACCAGGACTAGACCAGGACTAAACCAGGACTAAACCAGGACTGAACCAGGTCTAAACCAAGACTAGACCAGGACTAGACCAGGACTGAACCAGGACTAAACCAGAACTAGAACCAGGACTGAAACCAGAACTAAACCAGGACTGAACCAGGACTAAACCAGGACTAAACCAGGACTAAACCAGGACTAAACCAGGACTGAACCAGGACTAAACCAGGACTGAACCAGGACTAAACCAAGATTCAACGTGGTCAGAACTCAGACCAGGACCAGGACTGAGACCAGGATTGACACTGGTTCAGTCCTGGTTTAGTCCTGGTTTAGTCCCGGTTTAGTCCTGGTTTAGTCCTGGTTTAGTCCCGGTTTAGTCCTGGTTTAGTCCTGGTTTAGTCCTGGTTTAGTCCGTATGCGGCGCAAAAGTCCGGTTTGCATTTTCAAGTCACGGAAACGGGAAACGACCGTTATTTTTCATTTAAACAAAATCGTTTTATTTTGAAAAACAATTGACAAACGGATTCAGGAGTTTAACAGGTAAAACGATTCAGAAGTTTTATTTCCATGTAAAAAGATTTAAATTCCGATTTAAAGGTTTGTGTCTGGGTCAGGTTCAGGTGAGGATGTGAGACTCACTCCGTGCAGACGAGCGCTGACGCAGCCTCACGGGGTTCACAGGTCGAGGGTCGTCTGAGGTCGCCGGGGTCACGGGGGTCACGGGGGTCACGGGGTCCGAGCTGCCGAGCGGTTTGTCCAGAGCTCGGAGCAAAGACGAACCCGACTCACTGAAACACAACGAGTTAAAGCAGCATTACGGGATATTCTAACTGTGAAAGGACAAAGTGTGAAGCACAAACACCTCACCTCACAGCCAATCAGAGCTCAGCACAAACTCCTCACAGCCAATCAGAGCTCAGCACAAACACCTCACAGCCAATCAGAGCTCAGCACAAACTCCTCACAGCCAATCAGAGCTCAGCACAAACTCCTCACAGCCAATCAGAGCTCAGCACAAACACCTCACAGCCAATCAGAGCCCAGCACAAACACCTCACAGCCAATCAGAGCTCAGCACAAACTCCTCACAGCCAATCAGAGCTCAGTCGTCACAGCACAGTTTGTTCATAAAAATGATTTTCGAGGAAAAACCTGGATTTAAGTTTCATGTTGAGAATCACTCACCAAAACTGAGGTTAAATTTTAGTTAAAATAAAAATAAAAAAACTAAATCTTGAGGTTTTTATTTCAAATCCTTAAGTCAAGACCTGCTCAAGCCAACATGAACCTGTTCTTGTTTTTAACCATAATTAGTAAATAAAAGGAAATAAATTGTTTAATGTAACAATTATATAATAATACAAATTAAATAAATAAAATCCTATAAAGATCCGTCCTGGTTTAGTCCTGGGTCCTGGTTCAGTTTAGTCCTGGTTTAGTCCTGGTTTAGTCCTGGTTTAGTCCTGGTTTAGTCCTGGTCCTGGTTTAGTCCTGGTTTAGTCCTGGTTCAGTCCTGGTTCAGTTTCCTGGTTCAGTCCTGGTTCAGTCCTGGTTCAGTCCTGGTTTCAGTCCTGGTTTAGTCCTGGTTCAGTCCTGGTTTCAGTCCTGGTTTCAGTCCTGGTTCAGTTTAGTCCTGGTTCAGTCCTGGTTCAGTCCTGGTCCTGGTTCAGTCCTGGTTCAGTCCTGGTTCAGTCCTGGTTTAGTCCTGGTTCAGTCAGTCCAGTCCTGGTTCAGTCCTGGTTCAGTCCTGGTTCAGTCCTGGTTTAGTCCTGGTTTAGTCCTGGTTCAGTCCTGGTTTAGTCTCTAGTTTAGTTCATTTGTTTTTTCATTTTGGTTTTGGAGACAAATAATGAAGAAAATAGTTGTTGTTGTTTTTTTCTTCATTATTTTCCTTTCATAAAGATCAGGAGTCTGCAGCTCATCCAAGGATTTCAGAATTAGACATTATATAACATTAACATTAACATAATATTATATAACATTAACATTAACATAATATTATATAACAGAAACTAAAAATATGATGGATTAAATGTCTGTTTTCTTTGTAAATGTTTAATTTTGATGCTTCATTTTGTGCACTGACAACTGGACGTCCAACTCTACCTCATCTTCATGTACCAGAGTAATCAGAGTACACATGATGAGTAACTGTATTCAGTTACAGTTACTGTTTCAGTGAGTGGGAATTGGATTACAGTTACTTTGTTCAAATAAATGGATTAAACACAGAGGGATTTAACTGTTTTACATTTTGGGCTGAACCAGGACTAAACCAGGACTAAACCAGGACTAAAACCAGGACTAAAACCAGGACTAAACCAGGACTAAAACCAGGACTAAACCAGGACTAAAACCAGGACTAAACCAGGACTAAAACCAGGACTAAAACCAGGACTAAACCAGGACTAAAACCAGGACTAAACCAGGACTAAACCAGGACTAAACCAGGACTAAACCAGGACTAAACCAGGACTAAACCAGGACTAAACCAGGACTAAACCAGGACTAAAACCAGGACTAAACCAGGAAAACCAGGACTAAACCAGGACTAACCAGGACTAAACCAGGACTAAACCAGGACTAAACCAGGACTAAAACCAGGACTAAACCAGGACTAAACCAGGACTAAAACCAGGACTAAAACCAGGACTAAAACCAGGACTAAACCAGGACTAAAACCAGGACTGAACCAAGACTAAACCAGGTCTAAACCAGGACTAAACCAGGACTAAACCAGGACTAAAACCAGGACTAAAACCAGGACTAAACCAGGACTAAAACCAGGACTAAACCAGGACTAAACCAGGACTAAAACCAGGACTGAACCAAGACTAAACCAGGTCTAAACCAGGACTAAACCAGGACTAAACCAGGACTAAAACCAGGACTAAAACCAGGACTAAACCAGGACTAAACCAGGACTAAAACCAGGACTAAACCAGGACTAAAACCAGGACTGAACCAAGACTAAACCAGGTCTAAACCAGGACTAAACCAGGACTAAAACCAGGACTAAACCAGGACTAAACCAGGACTAAAACCAGGACTAAAACCAGGACTAAAACCAGGACTAAACCAGGACTAAACCAGGACTAAAACCAGGACTAAACCAGGACTAAACCAGGACTAAACCAGGACTAAACCATGGAGAGGAGCGGCACCAGGAGCGGCTGAAGGTTCTACAGAGGAACAGAGGAACGTGCAGTTACTCACAGTGGACTGTAGGGGGCAGAAGGAGGAGGAGGGATGTACAGATCCAGGATGGACGCTGCTACTGGTTCTGGTCCTGGTTCTGGTTCTGGTCCAGGTCCGGGTCTGGGTGCACTGGGCTGATGAGTCTGAACAAAACAAAATAACAATGAACTGCAACACCACTGCAGACCACAAGAGGGCGCAAGAGAGACCTGGTTTAGTCCTGGTTTAGTCCTGGTTTAGACCTGGTTCAGTCCTGGTTTAGTCCTGGTTTAGTCCTGGTTCAGACCTGGTTTAGTCCTGGTTTAGACCTGGTTTAGTCCTGGTTTAGTCCTGGTTCAGACCTGGTTTAGTCCTGGTTTAGTCCTGGTTTAGTCCTGGTTTAGACCTGGTTCAGTCCTGGTTCAGTCTTGTTCAGTCTTGGTTCAGTCTTGGTTTAGACTCTGGTTTAGACTCAGTTTTAGTCCTGGTTTAGACCTGGTTTAGTCCTGGTTTAGTCCTGGTTCAGACCTGGTTTAGTCCTGGTTTAGTCCTGGTTTAGTCCTGGTTTAGACCTGGTTCAGTCCTGGTTCAGTCCTGGTTTAGACTCTGGTTTAGACTCAGTTTTAGTCCTGGTTTAGACTCTGGTTTAGTCCTGTTTTAGTCCTGGTTTAGTCCTGGTTTAGACCTGGTTCAGTTCTGGTTCAGTCTTGGTTCAGTCTTGGTTTAGTCCTGGTTTAGACCTGGTTCAGTTCTGGTTCAGTCTTGGTTCAGTCTTGGTTCAGTCCTGGTTTAGACTCTGGTTTAGACTCAGTTTTAGTCCTGGTTTAGACTCTGGTTTAGACTCAGTTTTAGTCCTGGTTTAGTCCTGGTTTAGACTCTGGTTTAGACTCAGTTTTAGTCCTGGTTTAGTCCTGGTTTAGTCCTGGTTTAGTCCTGGTTTAGTCCTGTTTTAGTCCTGGTCTTGCGCTGTGGAGGAAGTGACCTTTGACCCTGACAGGACGGATCCGGCGGGCCTCGGTGGACTCGGGGTTTATCTGCGCTCACACACTTCCTGATCCGCGTCGCTTTGTTTAAATCCACAAAAACTTGGTCTCCGTGACGACGGCGCTCGCACCTTTTACACTTTACATCTTTAGTTTTAAACGGAGACAATAAAAAAAAATTACCCATTTATGTTTCAGATTTTGGTAATTCTGTAATAAAGAACCACAGTTTGTCATTTTAGGATTAATTCCAGATGGTTTTGGAGGAAATCATAAAAAATGCCTCTTAAGAATTTGAATTGCTGCACTGAGACTTTACAGAAAGATCTTCATCAAGAGACGCAGTCCCACATTTGCTCTAGACGACGATGACGACGATTAGTGTATGTGTGTAATTGTTTCTGATATTATTTGTTTTTCTCCGGGGCGTTTATTTGTTTCAGTCACTTAACAGACCAGGCTTTTATTTGAGACCAGGCGGTGATTTGGGGCAGGACATTAATTCCTTCGTCACAAAAATCTTGCTCAGCGTCGCCGTTCTACATGTCCTGGCGACTCCTTTGCCTTTTTACCTTGTGGGCAGATTCTTGGCGCCTCGTCCCTTCGCCACGACTTTCCTCTGACGCCGCAGCAGCTACGATCACGTCGCTGTTTCCTCCCAGTCGACAAACTCGAGTCATTTTACCAAAACTCCTCAAACCTGCTTCAGTTTCCTGCCCGATGTGTCGCTCCGTCTTTCTTTTTTTACGTCACTTTGAAATCAGGATTTCACAGAGACGTCGTCTGTTCCTCCACTTTTTCAGTGAAGCTGAGGCCGATCAGGACAGAGCCTGTCCACTCCGAGTCACACGACCAGACTGGTGTGGGCAGCACTGACCTGAAGTCAAACCGCTCCTGTCGCTGTAAACATCAGACTCTGTGTGTGTCGCTGCACGAATCTTCACATCTTGGTTCAATAAAAAACAAAAACTGGGAAATGGCAGTTTGAGCCACAAACACTGACTCGACTGGACTGGACTCGACTGGACTCGACTGACTGCTCGACTGCATTAGACTGCATTAGACTCGACTGCATTAGATTTGACTGCATTAGACTCGACTGCATTAGACTCGACTGCATTAGACTCGACTGCATTAGATTCGACTGCATTAGACTCGACTGCATTACTGCATTAGACTCGACTGCATTAGACTCGACTGCATTAGACTCGACTGCATTAGACTCGACTGCATTAGACTCGACTGCATTAGACTCGACTGCATTAGACTCGACTGCATTAGACTCGACTGCATTAGACTCGACTGCATTAGACTCAGAGTTTTTTTGGACCCGGTGGTTGTTTATCAAACTCTACACCTGCACTCGGTGTCGGTTCATTCAAACCCGGTGATTATTTGGTGTTTTACGGCAGTTGAAGTTGTTTCCGTCCCGTTCAGTCCAGTCTGGCTGTGCTTCGTCTGTCGTAGGGAGTATTATACCTGTGTTGTGGGGGCTGCAGTACTGACCTTGACCAGAGGGGGTCTCCAGCGCATGTTCCTGAGCGGCGCCGCGCTCACGTTTCCCGCCGCTCGCTTCTTCAGCGTCAGAACCACCGACCCCGAGTCCGAACGCAAACGCTCCACCAACCGCTTCAACTGCCAGCCCACCTGACCAATCAGAGCACAGAGAACAGTCACCTGACCAATCAGAGCACAGAGAACAGTCACCTGACCAATCAGAGCACAGAGAACAGTCACATGACCAATCAGAGCACAGAGAACAGTCACCTGACCAATCAGAGCACAGAGAACAGTCACCTGACCAATCAGAGCACAGAGAACAGTCACATGACCAATCAGAGCACAGGACACAGTCACTGACCAATCAGAGCACAGAGAACAGTCACTGACCAATCAGAGCACAGAGACACAGTCACATGACCAATCAGAGCACAGGACACAGTCACTGACCAAATCAGAGCACAGAGAACAGTCACATGACCAATCAGAGCACAGAGAACAGTCACCTGACCAATCAGAGCACAGAGAACAGTCACATGACCAATCAGAGCACAGGACACAGTCACTTGACCAATCAGAGGAGAGAAAACAGTCACCTGACCAATCAGAGCACAGAGAACAGTCACCTGACCAATCAGAGCACAGAGAACAGTCACATGACCAATCAGAGCACAGGACACAGTCACATGACCAATCAGAGCACAGGACACAGTCACTTGACCAATCAGAGCACAGAAACAGTCACATGACCAATCAGAGCACAGGACACAGTCACTTGACCAATCAGAGGAGAGAAAGAGTCACCTGACCAATCAGAGCACAGGAAACAGAACTGACCAATCAGAGCACAGGAAACAGAACTGACCAATCAGAGAGGAGAGACCTGGACACAGGTGGAATAAACACAGAGAGGTTCAGGTGTTGAACCAGGGACTTGTGTTCTGTCGAAATGAGCTCCCGCAGCCTAAACTGACAGTGATGTCCATCGATTCACGCTGCCCCGTCAAAATAAGCTCCTGATGTTTTTCCGTTTACAGTTGTACAGATCTAATAAACCCTGACCTCTGACCTCCAGTTTGTCACATGGTGATCACACTTCAGACTTTAGTTCTGTCAAATCTGTCTCGGGAGCTCAAACCGACAGGACACCGTCTGACTGTGAGGAGACAGGGCTAACCACTCTGCCGCACACTCACCACCGTCTGCCCGTCCACTCGGACCAACTCGTCCCCCGCGTGGATCCTCTGAGTCCGATCGGCCGGAGACTGAGACAGAGACACGACAAAAAGACAGAGACACGACAGAGACACAACAGAGACACGACAAAAAGACAGAGACACAAACAGAGACACAGAGACACAAACAGAGACACGACAAAAAGACAGAGACACAAACAGAGACACAACAAAAAGACAGAGACACAAACAGAGACACAGAGACACACAGAGACACAACAAAAAGACAGAGACACGACAGAGACACAGAGACACACGACAAAAAGACAGAGACACGACAGAGACACAGAGACAACAGAGACAAAAAGACAGAGACACGACAGAGACACACAGAGACACAACAGAGACACAACAAAAAGACAGAGACACACACAGAGACACAACAGAGACACACAACAGAGACACAACAGAGACACAACAAAAGAGACACAGAGACACACAGAGACACAACAGAGACACAGAGACACAACAAAAAGACAGAGACACGACAGAGACACAAACAGAGACACAGAGACACACAGAGACACAACAAAAACACAGAGACACAGAGACACACAGAGACACAACAGAGACACAACAAAAAGACAGAGACACGACAGAGACACAAACAGAGACACAACAGAGACACAACAAAAGACAGAGACACAACAGAGACACAACAGAGACACAGAGACACAGAGACACAACAAAAAGACAGAGACACGACAGAGACACAGAGACACACAGAGACACACAGAGACACAACAGAGACACAACAAAAAGACAGAGACACGACAGAGACACAACAAAAAGACAGAGACACACAGAGACACACAACAGAGACACAGAGACACAACAAAAAGACAGAGACACGACAGAGACACACAGAGACAGAGACACAACAAAAAGACAGAGACACACAGAGACACAACAGAGACACACAGAGACACAGAGACATGAGATTTATTTAGTGACATGAAGGTTTAAAGAGTCACAAAGTTTTTCCTTGAGTCTGAACTGTGTCTGTGTTTTGGAGTTTTCCTCTGATGACGTCAGCAGAGGAATTCAGTTTTACACAACAAATCTCCAGTCTTAAATTTATAGTTTAATCTGTGTGTCATTCGTTCAATCATTTTTTTCAAAATAAAATAAAAAAAGAAGAAAATTTATTAAAAAACATATATATATTTTCTTCATTATTTGTGTCCAAAACCAAAATGAAAAAACAGATAAAGATTTTTTTTTTTTTTTTTTCGATTTTGTGTTTGAATGAAAAATGGAAAAATGGAAAATGGACTGAACCTGGACTGAACCAAGACTAAAAAGTTTTCAGTCCCAGTCTGGTCCCGGTCTCAGTAACGAGCTCAGTCCTGGTCTCAATCACGGTCTGGTCCCAGTCTCAGTCCAGGTCTCAGTCCCGGTCTCAGTCCTGGTCCTGTTCCCGGTCTAAAACAGGACTAAAACAGGACTGAACCAGGACAGAACCGGTCTAAGTCCTGGTCTCAGTCCCGGTCTGGTTACAGTCTGGTCGGACCTGGTTCAGTCCTGTTTTTGTCCTGGTTTAGTCCTGTTATAGTCCTGTTTTAGTCCTGTTATAGTCCTGTTTTAGTCCTGGTTCAGTTTTTTCCATTTTTCATTTAAACACAAAATCGAAAACTGAAAAAAACAATCTTTATCTTTTTTTTTCATTTTGGTTTTGGAGACAAATAATGAAGAAAATTGTTTTAAATAGTTTTTCCGTTTTCTTATTTTAGGTTTTATTTTGAAAAACAAATGAACAAACGACACACGGGGATTCAGTTTAAACCTCACACTGCAACTTTTCTCTCTCTTTAAAACTTACATCAGGTTTTTCATCTTTTTTCAGATTTATTTTTTGACTTTCTTGTTCTGAAATGTTTCGTTCTCGTCTAGAGGTCGATTATTTTCAGAGAACTTGTCACATAAAGTGATTTTGCTGCGTGGACACATCACATCAACACTTTTGAGTCATTTTCTGAGAGATTTAATAGTTCAGATTTTACATTTTGGCCAAGTTTTGTTTTGTTTTTCTCCACAAAATGGTGTCGTACATAAACTGGACTCACGTTCTGTGTGGTTCCGGTGATCAGGTGCAAACCGTCGTACGTGGATTTGATGTAAATTCCCTGAAACACAAAACAACAACAACAACAGCACGACGTAAACAAAGAGAAGTTCATTTAAACCCACGCGACGTTTAGAAAGTTTCAGAAAAATAAAGACTGTTGCCATAGCGATTAAAATTTAAACCTCAGTAAATATTAGACATCCACCGTTTTTGTTTTGTTTTTAACGACCGAAATGAAACGATCGATAAAAATCTGCTGATAGTTTTGGGTCGATATAAAAGAGCAGGTTTGGACATTTTCCACAAATTAGATCATTTAAATTTAGAACAAACTCAGGTCGGTTTTACTCCAAACTGTGTAAGAGAAATAATACTTGGATAATTATCCAATCTAAATTTATTTGTCTGCCACATTTTACCAACACAAAGTCTCCAAAGAGCTGCACAGAGAATAAACAATATAAACATATTAAATCAACTAAAGCATCAAAAAATAAATCAAATAAATAAAAATCAAATCAAATAAATAAATATAAAAAATATAAATCAAAAACATAAATACAATAATTATAATATTTTAAAAAAATCTAATCAAATAAATTAAATAAATAATAAAAAAATATAAATAAAAAATATAAATACATTATAATATAAAAAAATGAATAAAATAAATTAAAACATAAAAAATACTAAAATAGAAAAATTGCTAATAAAATCATTAAAAAACAGTCAGAGGACGACACAGTTCTCACGCTGTGGTAAAGTCGGTGAGTAAAAGTGTTTTTAAATGAGACTTAAAAGAATGGACTGAAGGGGGCGCTGTGAACGTGAGGGGGGGTTCCAAAAGTTTGGGGCCAACTACAGAAAAGACCTGATCACTCTAGAACAGGAGTGTCAAACATCCGGCCCAGGGGCCAGATCCGGCCCTCCAAGACCTTTAATGTGGCCCTGGGCTGATTTTCTACTAAAATATTTTAATGATATTTTCTATTAAAATGGTGTTAATTTTGTGTGGTGTTTATCACAGCAGCGTCTCCAGCGTCTCTGTACGTGGCCCCTCCCACCAGAGCAGCACAAATGAAGACTTGTCTCTTTCCAAACGCTCTTAAAGGACGATCGTTTTGACTGTTGACCGAGACACCCTCATCAGAAAAATGTCCAACATGAGAAAAGTGGAGCCGAGTGCAGGATTTTACAACAAAAATGGATTTACCGTATTTTATGGATGATTAGTCGCTCTGTATTATAAGGCGCACTGTCATTAAATGGTCGATGTTTGAACTTTTTTCACAAATAAACGGCGTGGGACTTTAAAGGAAACCCAACAGTGTGATGGGTGAGTGGTTTTGTTTGTTTGTTCGTTCACGGTGACTCTGGGTTTGTTCAGTTGTGGCGTGTAGGGAGGGTGTGTCTGGGACCAACAGATTGTCGGTGTGTTCACAGTGACTCAGTCGTGTCTAGAAGCGGAACGTCGCGCACGTCGCTTTTTCGGTTCGTTCCTCCGTTCCGTTCCTCGTCGGCGTGGAGTGATGAGTGTGTCTGTGTGTCTGTGGGTGTGTTTCGTTGTGCGGTCGCTGTCTGCTCCGTGTGTGTTTGTGTGTTCTGTGTGTGTTTGTGTGTTCTCTGGGTGGTTCTTTGTAGTTTACTGAAGTCGTGCTGGGACACCCGAGTGGATTCGTGTATGGGGGCGCTCTGGATTGTGGCGTGCGGTCGTTTTTTGATGCAGTTAGAGGCTTAAGAGCGCAACTAATGACCCGGAAAATACAGTATTCCTATTTCCATACAAGTTCATGTTAAAACTTTGTGTTGAAATTGTATTTTTCTTAAAGTTTCAGGTTGTTAATAATATTATAATATTTTGTAAAAGAAAGAGTTCATCAATTAAAAAAGATTTGTGTAATAGATTTGTGTTTCTCTGCACAAATATTTGAACTTATTGTTAGTTTTGGGGTTTATATGACATGAGTTTTCTGACCCAGACACTTTGGATCCAAGTCGGTTGGACACGACCCCAGGAACAAAACCAGTTGGACACTCCTGGTCTAGACTCCCACATCAAACACACAGACACAAAAACTGTGTCAGTCGTTTGTGTTTTGTTTGTGCTGTAAAAAGTTCAGTTTGTGTGATTCTGAAATTATCATTTTTATTTTAGGTCGACTCAAAACAGCAGAAAATGAAACCAAACGTTTGTGTTTGGTTTGTGTTGTTTTGTGTGTGACTGTTTTTATTTGTGTGAGTTTATTTCTAAAATTATGAATTATAATTTTTTATATGAGGTCATTTTCGTTCAGTTGACGACAGCAACTTTAACAAAACTCCACAAAACTCCAGAGAGAGAAACGACCTGAGGCTGTGGAAAAAAGTCTAAAATAATCTAAAGTTTCTAAGTTTTGATCCAGACTTTTCCACAGACTCAGGTCGATGTTTTTGGAAAACAAGACCACAGCGTCTTGGATTGATCTTCCAGATTTGATTCCAGTTCTGTGATTGGCTCCTCACCAGTCCCTGTCCCGGCCGCACGTCGCTGATGGTGACGTCCTCCAGGGTCCAGGGGTCAGGGGTCAACGCCGTCGCCTGCTCACAAATCCCGTTCAGAGACTTGGACTGAAACAAAAACAAAAAGAGAAATAATACAAAAGACAGAGAATCTACAGGACAGAGGACAGAGGGACAGAGAGGACAGAGGACAGAGGACAGAGGACAGAGGACAGAGGACAGAGGACAGAGGACAGAGGACAGAGGACAGAGGACAGAGGACAGAGAGGACAGAGGACAGAGGACAGAGGACAGAGGACAGAGGACAGAGGACAGAGGACAGAGAGGACAGAGGACAGAGGACAGAGGACAGAGGACAGAGGACAGAGGACAGAAGGACAGGACAGAGGACAGAGGACAGGACAGAGGACAGAAGGACAGAGGACAGAAGGACAGAAGGACAGAAGGACAGAGGACAGAGGACAGAAGGACAGAGGAGGACAGAGGACAGAGGACAGAAGGACAGAGGACAGAAGGACAGAGGACAGAGGACAGAGGACAGAGGACAGAGAGGACAGAGGACAGAGGACAGAGGACAGAAGGACAGAGGGACAGAGGGACAGAGGACAGAAGGACAGAAGGACAGAAGGACAGAGGACAGAAGAGATTTTTCCTAAAAAGGGAAACAGGAAACAGGAAACAGGAAAGCACCAATCAGCTGCTGCTTTGTGGAAAACAGGAAATGGAGGCAGAGTCATCGGAGCATCACCGAGACGAGACGAGTTTAAGGATCAAATCCACGTTTTTAAACAAACGTCTAAACGACAAACCCTCTTGAAGTACTTCATAAAAAGTACAGACACACGGGGGAAAAGTAAAAGTACAACATGAAAACATCTGCTTAAGTAAAAGTATTAAAGTACCTGTTTAAAAATGTACTTTAAGAGTAAAAAATAAAAGTATATGAAGAGATTTTTAGAATAATTAAAGGATAAAATGTAGTGATTTTGACAAAGAATTCAGCTGATTTTAAATTACTTCAATTAATTTCTTCTTCTTTTTTTGTGCCATTTTTGTGTTTTGTTTTGCTCAAAGTTTGGACAGAAAATCTAATTAAATGTGCTAAAAAAAAAAACAGTTTCAGATAATTTCTCTCAAATGTAGTGAAGTAAAAGTATCCACAGTAAAAAGTACTTCAGTAAAGTACAGACACTTTTGTACTTTTACTTTTGTACTTGTTACTTTCACACGTCTGTTTCTTTTTTGGGGGGAGGAGGAGGAGGAACGTTTTGGATAAATGGGATTCGGCCACAAAGACAGGAAGTGGCCGGCCGCGCACAGGAAGCGAACACGTGCGCAAACAGGAAGTCACGGTTTGAACTCACCACCTCCAGGATCTTCTCCTCCATCTCGAAAACCGTGCAGTCCTGAAACACCAGAACCAGAGGAGAACATCTCAACACCAAAACAACAAAACACCAAAACAACAAAACAACCAAAACACCAAAACACAAAAAACAAAACAAAACACCAAAACAACAAAACACCAAAACAACAAAACAACAAAACAACAAAACACCAAAACAAAACAAAAACAAAACAACAAAACACCAAAACAACAAAACAACAAAACAACATGGCTCAGGACACACAGGCACATCTCACTGTTTAGTCCTGGTTTAGTCCTGGTTTAGTCCTGGTTTAGTCCTGGTTTAGTCCTGGTTTAGCCCAAAATGAGAAAACAGGAAAATCCCTCTGTGTAATCCATTTATTTCAACAAAGTAACTGTAATCTAATTACCACTCACTGAAACAGTAACTGTAACTGAATACAGTTACTCATCATTTGTACTCTGATTACTCTGGTACATGTAATCTGTTACTCCCCAACACTGACAACAGGATGCACCGGTCAGCCTGGGATTCGAACCACCAACCGCCCAACACCTCCAGACCAGATAAACCAAGAAGAAACCAGGTCTAACCAGGCGTTACCGCTTAAATCAGAGATTTATTATTATGGACTTGTGTTGGACGCCATTTTGAGGACTTGTGTTGGACGCCATTTTGAGGACTTGTGTTGGACGCCATTTTGAGGACTTGTGTTGGACGCCATTTTGAGGACTTGTGTGAGTCGTACCTTCTGCACGGTGGAGGTGAGCTCCAGACACAAGTGAATGATGCGACTCTTCGTGCTGCTCAGGTCCATGCAGCTGTTCACCGGAGCCCTGCACCAAACACACAGGGAGTTTATAGATTATACACACGTGTAGTTTATAGATTATACACACGTGTAGTTTATAGATTATACACACGTGTAGTTTATAGATTATACACACGTGTGTTTATAGATTAACACGTGTAGTTTATAGATTATACACACGTGTAGTTTATAGATTATACACACGTGTAGTTATAGATTATACACACGTGTAGTTTATAGATTATACATGTGTGTAGTTTATAGATTATACACACGTGTAGTTTATAGATTATACACACGTGTAGTTTATAGATTATATGTGTGTAGTTTATAGATTATACACGTGTGTAGTTTATAGATTATACACGTGTGTAGTTTATAGATTATACACACGTGTAGTTTATAGATTATACACACGTGTAGTTTATAGATTATACACACGTGTAGTTTATAGATTATACACACGTGTAGTTTATAGATTATACACACGTGTAGTTTATAGATTATACGTGTGTAGTTTATAGATTATACCACGTGTAGTTTATAGATTATACACACGTGTAGTTTATAGATTATACACACGTGTAGTTTATAGATTATACACACGTGTAATCTATAACTACACATGTATAATCTTAAACTACACACACGTATAGTTTATAGATTATACACACGTGTAGTTTATAGATTATACACACGTGTAGTTATAGATTTATACACATGTATATATCTATAAACTACACACACGTAGTTGATAGTAGTTGTAGTTTTAGATTATACG